GAAGGTTTCACCCACGAAGGGTGTTATGACATTTGGAAAGTAGGGCAGTTGAGCCCTCGGTTCATTGGGCCTTTTGAGGTGCTTTAAAGTATCAGAGAGGTGGCTTACAAGCTTGCCTTACCACCTAGCTTGTCGAGTGTGCATCCAGTATTTCATATTTCTATGCTCTGGAAGTATATCGGTGATCCGTCTCATGTTTTGGATTTCAGCACGGTTCGGGTGGATGGTGATTTGACTTATAATGTGGAGCTGATGTCCATTTTGGATAGGCAGGTTCAAAAATTGAGGTCAAAGGACATAGCTTCAGTGAAGGTGTAGTGGAAAGGTCAGCCCATGGAGGAGGCCACTTGGGAGACTGAGCGGGAGATGCGGAGTAGATATACACACCTATTTGTGACTCCAAGTATGTTCCTAGACCCAATTGAGGACGAACATTTGTTTAAGAGGGGGGCATTTAACGACCCGGTCGATCATTTCGAGAGTTGTGGCCCTGTTTCCCCATTTTCTGCTCTTTTTGCACTCTACAGCTGTGATATGCCTTACCGGGCTGGTTAGTTCGGGTCCAGAGAGATTTCAGTGAGACACTTAGTCTCTTAATTGAAAGCTTAAGTTGGAAAAGTTGACCAGATGTTGACTTATGTGTATACGACTTCGAATTTAAATTTTAATGGTTCCTTTAGCTTCGTTAGGTAATTTTGGACTTAGGAGCATGTCTACATTATGATATGGAGATTCGTAGTAGAATTAGGCTTGAAATGGCGAAAGTTGGATTTTAGAAAGTTTGATCGGGAGTTAACTTTTTGATATCGGGGTCGGATTGTATTTCCCAAAGTTAGAGTAGGTTTGTGGGGTCATTTATGACTTGTGTAAAAAATTTGAGATCAATCAGACGTAATTTGATAGGTTTTGACGCAATTTGTAGAAGTTGGAAATTTTAAAGTTCATTAGGCTTGAATCCGAGTGCAATTCGTGTTTTAGATGTTGTGTGAGGTGATTTGAGGATTCGACTAAGTTCGTATTGGGCTATAAGACTTGTTGGTTGTTTGGTTGAGGTCCTGGAGCCCTCGGGTTGATTTTGGGTGGTGAACGAACTCGGAGTTTGATTTGAAAAGCAACTAAAATTTTGTTGTTGCTGGTGTAATCGCACCTGCAGAGTGGGGACCGTAGGTGTGAGTCTAAAAAATCAAGGCAAGAGCTGCAGAAGCGGCCAAGGGAAAGGTGAGCAGATATCGCAGGTGCGAAGATTTTCCCGCACCTGTGTGGTCGCAGGAGCAGGCAGAAGGGCGTAGATGCGGCTAGTTCCATAGGTGCGATGGCATTTTCCGCAGATGCGGTCCAGCATTAGCAGAAGCGGAGGCACCTGGTTAAGTGGATTCCACAGAAGCGGAGATTTAACCGCAAAAGCGGTTCCACTGGTGCGGATAAGTGTCTGAGGGTGCAAAAGTCCTGGGCAGAATGTTTAAAAATGAGGGTTCGCGATTTTGGCTTCATTTCAACATTTTGAACTAGGACTTAGGCAATTATGGAGAGTATTTTCGAGGGGATTCTTGAGGTAAGCTTCTTGTACTCGTTTTTGGTCATTAATCTTGTTACCCCATTGTTTTTCCCACCTAGATTGTGTGGTTTTGAGGTATAATTTGAGGGATTGAGGCTAGGGATTTGAATGATCATTTGGTGTCGGATTTTGGTAAATTTGGTAGGTTAGACTTGTGAGTGAATGGGCTTTCGGGTTTGTGACTTTTGTCGGAAGTTGAGACGCGGGCCCGAGGGTCGGGTTTGAGCCGATTTTTGATTTTAGTTATAATTTTATATTTTTTTTATAGAATTGATTCCTTTAGCCTATATTTATTGTATTGTACCACTTGTGGCTGATTTGGGTCATTTGGAGGACGATTCGCGGGGCAAAGACATATTGGAGAGAGTTTTGCTTGGATTGAGGTAAGTAATAGTTTTAAATATGGTCTTGAGGGTATGAAACCATAGATTATGAATTATGTGATTGCTTTAAGGGTGACACACATGCTAGGTGACGGGTGTGTGGGCGTGCACCGTAGGAATTGGGACTTGGTCCATTCCGTGGAACTGTAAAGTTGAATAACATGTTGTTAGCTATATGCTCTCCATGTATTATAGAAATTCAACCATTTATCATGTTAGAAATCACGCTTAAGCTATGTGATGACAATGTTAGGACCCGCAGAGGTTGTGTACTCGTTGAATTATCTGCTAGTTGTTGTCTTGTACTTAGTCACGGTTTTACTTGTGTATCATATCTCATTCTCTTCTTGTTTCTTGTTGATACATGTTATTTATCTCTGTTTGGGCTGATTTGTATGATTTCTGAGAGCTTGAGAGATTGGAGAGGTTGGTGACTGAGTTAGGACCTGAGTGCCGAGATGTGAGCTATATGTGTATATATGGATCGGGTTATACGTCGCAACGATCCTGAGGGCTGTANGTGTGTGTGTATGTGTGTGGATTGGGTTTCACTCCGTAACGAGCCTTATGGCCATTTATATATTATGGATCGGTTTACATACCGTAGTGATATAGCCTTTGGCTGAAGGAGCCACTCCGTAGTATGTACACCCCCAGTGAGCGCAGGTACCTATTGAGTGTGAGTATTGAGGGCTGAGAGCTGAGTGATTGAGCTATTGAGAAAGGTTGAGTGAATGTTGCCCTGAGAGGCTGTACTTGCTTTAATTTGTTGCTGCACTTAGCTATTATATGTCACCTTTTGAATTTTCTAGAAGATATTGTATCTGATTTTACTTGAACTTGGTAATGTATAAATTGAATTGACTTAAATTTCCGTATTTGAAAGCATGACTACTTTCTTATTGAGATTACTGAAAATGAACTATAAATGTGTAGCTCGTCACTATCTTTCAGTTCCTTATTTATTATTGTTACTTACTAAGTTGGTTGTACTCACGCTATACCCTACACTTTGTGTGCAGGTCTGGGTATTTCCGAACACGGTGGGCGGTGACATCGTGCACGGTTGATTGTTGGAGATTTATGAGGTAGCTACCCGGCGTTCGCAGTCCTTGTTTCTCTTTCCTTGTCTTTTCATTATTTGTATTTTTATATAGACTCTTTTAGACACTTCTTTCTAGACTGGTTGTATAGATGCTCATGAGCTTAGTGACATCCTGATTTGGGAGTTGTGTTTCCGCACTTGTGTTGAATATGCCACCAAGACTTAAGGGTAAGTTTTATAGAGTGGTGGCTTGATCGACTATGCTGTATGGGGCTGGGTGTTGGCCAGTCAAGAACTCCCATATGCAAAAGATGAAAGTAGCAGAGATGAGGATGTTTAGATCGATGTGTAGGTGTACCAAGAGAGATAAGATTAAGAATGAAGCTATCCGGGACAGAGTGGGAGTAGCCTCCGTAGAGGACAAGATGCGGGAGTCGAGGCTGAGATGGTTCAGACATGTTTAAAGAAGAAGCATTGATGCTCCTGACAGGAGGTGTGAGAGGTTGGCCATGGCGAGTTTGCGAAAAAGTCAAGGTAGGCTTAAGAAGTACTGGGGAGAGGTGATTAGACAGGACATGGCGCTGCTTCAGCTCATTAAGGACATGACCCTTGATATGAGAGTGTGGAGGTCGAGGATTAAAGTAAAAGGTTAGTAGGTAGTTTTTAGTTGCTCACCGATAGTCTTAGTAGCACGTATGTCCCTTCATATTGTTAGATTTTTATTGCTTTATGTGGTTTTGTTCGTCTCAGGTATTGTATTCCCTATTGCTATTATTTGGTACTACTTATCCTTTATGTCTCCCTTTTTTTTATCTTCCTTCTTTCTTACTTTCTTGCTTTCCTCTTCTTCTTCCTACCCTTCCTGAGCCGAGGGTATATTGGAAACAGGCTCTCTACCTGCATTAGGTAGAGGTAAGGTCTGCATATAGACTTACTTCCCTCCCCAGACCCTACCTGTTGGGAACATAATGGGTTTGTTGTTGTTGTTGTTGTTGTTGTTTGTTGTTGTGCTTGTGTTGCGTTGTTACCCCGTTTTTATGAAAACTCTGGTTATTCAAAATATCTTAATTTATTTTCTGTTAAATATTGGAAGTATTTTGAAAATGTCGGTTTGCCTAGTACCACGATAGGTGCCATCACGACGGGTTAGTATTTGGGTCGTGACACGTCGTATACGGCAAGTGGTGATAAAAACAGAGATCGGGAGGGACATCTAGCGTCTAACAAGCTCTGGCCATTGAAATGAAAAATGATTGAGAAATTAGGAAAGAGAAAAAAGAATGCTTTAAGAAGTTTAATAGTGGAGCTCAGATGAGGCTTTTGCCTTTTGGCCGGATATGGTAATGAAGGTCCGCAAATAGAAAAATAAGGAAGAAGGAGAAAACGGTGAAAAGATATTTTAAGTAAGAAATACACATTTTAGATGCGTGTATTTTACCACTTTGCACGCAACTAGTTGTAACTTTTTAAGAGCTAAATAATTTTACTTTAAAATAGTTCAGGGGTAATAGGACCTCCCAAAAAAAAAGGAATATAGTTGATAATATGATCTTAGGTCGGGGAGGATTTTATACATTATCCCTAATAAGAAATTTAGCGGAAGAATTTTTGAGGTAGGAAGTTGTAATGCTTTTACATGTACGACAACAAAAAACAGGAAGATTTATCCTTTTAATACTTCCAAAAGTTTAGACGAGGCTCTCGACTAATTTTATGTTTGGCCATAAATATTGGCTACTTTCTTTTAGAAAAAAAATTGAAAATATTATTTGTTCAAGAAATATGATCAATAAGCGTATATTAAATTGGAACGGAGGGAGTAATACAAATACAAACCCAAGCAATCCCTCGCAACATAACAAAGCGTTAGCAGGGCAGTGCCAAAAAAGGGGAGTAGAGTCGTAGGCATAGCCAAGCGTATATTAACTTTTTGCTTAAAAATAACCATCCTATCCTTTGTAAACTACTGGAAAAGAAAACAGTAACATATGAAATATTAAATAGATTGAATATTCAATTTCCTTAAAACAAACTTCTTTTCTTAAATATTTAAGGAAAAAATGCAGAAGTTTTCATCAACACCCAACTTTTACTAAATAGGAAAAATTAAGTCATTCCCAAGTTTGATACATCAATCAAGCACAACTAGCTGTTGATACTCTTCACCAGAAATTGCTGCTTCCATAATAGCTTCGGGATGAAAGTCCCTTTCTTCCAAGAACAAAGTCAGCAAATTCTTTGAAAAACCACTCACTAATGCAACTCCTTTTTGGTTTACTGGCACTGGTGTTGCTCTGGACTCCCTTAAATTCCAAAACACAATTTGAGGTACACAATTCCCATAACCTTTCTTTGTAAATTTTCTAACAATAGTCTGATAATCTGTCTCCCATGGATTTGCTGAAGCCTTATCAAACTCCATGTCACTGAACACAAACACTTCCTTGATCATCTCATCCTCCTTTAGTTTCCCATTCACAGCTACTTTTAGTATTAGGTCAAACACCTTTTGAAAATCAGTGTTCATTCCCCATTCCATATCTCTCACAAACCCAACCTTGGACCTTAAATCCTCCCCTTCAACTAGTTGAAGCTTTGGGTTCTTGCTGAATGTTATCAACTTTCCTTTCCAAGGCTCGACACTTAATTCTGAAACGAGAACGCCTAGCGCCACTGAAACCTCCATTGGAGTACCCGACATGCTGCCCGAGACATCACAAATAGCAAGACAATTTTTCAGTTTTCCCTTTTGGGACAAGTCATCTACCATTCTCTTCCATTGCAACTCAGCAACTTGACCCCCGTCATCAGTGTGATTTAGTGCTCCTATTATCTGATGAGGCAACAATGCACCCGCAGCAATCTTCGCTTTCCCCTGTTTCACTTTCTCAAGATAATCTTTAAATCTTTCTTCATCATGTTTCAAAAACTTGTCTTTGTACAACTTCATAGCGACTGATGCCACCCTATTGTAAGGAATGGAACCCCAATCATTTCGCCCAATATAAACCCCTGGCAATTCCAGAGCTTTGCGTAAGGGCACTAAAACTTCTTTCCTCAATCGATCCCTCACTCTATAGGCGTAATGTGCATCCTCAATTCCTTCATATTCAGAGTATGACTCTCTTGTAAAAACCTTCCTTGCTATGCTTTCACATAAAAGTGTTCTCTTATCAAAAGACGAATCTAAAGAAGGACACCATTTAGCTGCAAGGCTGATATCTTTCAATTTCCCAGTGTTCAACAACTCAAGATCCAACTTCAAACAATTTGCAAAAAGATCAGATACACGCTCGTGCAAGAATCTATAATCAGGATCGTGCCTATACCTCTCGAAAGCCTTTTTAGCCATCTCGATTTTCCTCTGCTCTCTGGCAGTCCTCGTTTTCTTTTTCTCATTTTCAACTTTGCTCTCATTAGATACTAGAATTCCTCCAAATGGTTTCCAACTTCTGTCCTTTCCAACTTTATATCTCTTCAACTTTTTGCTTCCCACCCTGTTACTTAATTCTCTTTCCTTTTTAGCCTTTTTTCTCACATCAGCTCCTTCAAGTAGCCTGTATAGAATCTCAGGCAAATCCTTGAAATACCCGAAATTCACTATGGATTCTAAATTACAAGCAAGGGTTTTAGGGTGTAATTGATGAAGCCATAAAGCGGCAGTGTAGTAACCTTCTTTATCAGATTTGCCAGTGCCACGAACACCACGCAAATTACAAATAAGTTTCAAGGCGGTTAAAGAATTATGATCCCATGCAAATTGTAAATATTTAGTAAGGAATTGGGAAGGAGTATCAGGAACAACATGAAAGAAGAAATCTAAACAAGGGTTTGAAGTAGAAAGATAAGTTGCTGACATGTTTTCAGTGTAGCCCATATTAGGGGGTTGTGATTTTGTGGAATTGAAATTTGCAACCATTAGATCCATAAAGGGATTGCTAACAGTAGGGGCTGATTGTTGAATGGTGGAGGAAGATTTTTGTGTGCCATAGATTTCTGGAGGACCAACAAGAGAAACCATTGGAATGAATCTAAGTGGAGTCGCAGAAAAGAGAGGCGTGCAACAAGATTTTTATAGGAAAATTATTTACTTGGTGACCAAGTATTTGTTTTTTTAAAAACTAAAATCCTTGTTGGCCAAGTATTTGAAGGTTACGTCGGTTGAGAATTCTTTGTTTATTTTTTATTTTTTTAGAAGCAATATTCTATGTCGGCTAAGAATTACTTAAATCGGTAGACTTTGAATTATGCTGGAAATTTGGAGAAGACTGAACGGTTAACAGCGATTTTTATGGCACCACAAGCTAATTTTTAGTTATTTATATTCTTATTTAGAGGATTAAAGATTAATAGCATAGTTAATGTTACCATTCACGCCTTAGATGTAAAAGGTAATCTCTAAAACTTTTGCTAATCTTGATTTTGTTTCTTGTTATGTCCATTCTTATCTAATAATGGGAATTTCATGTTTTTTTTTAAAAAAAAAAAAAAAAAAAAAATTCACTGAAGCCCCTTAACGTTTAATTGTGGGACTAGGATCATAATCCTCTGCTGCTTCAATTATCCTCCAAAAACTCGTCTCACAATGGGAAGACTTTTAGATTGGAAACCTTTTGGTGTAATCATTCATACTTTGTAAATTTAGTAAAGGCTTGTTGGCAAAACAATGATCTCAACAAAGCTCAATAATTTAAAAGTAGATATTCACTCTAATAACTCAAATAAAAGTTCGGAGGAACCGTTAAATCTCTCAATTGCTTTATAGAAATTAAGTGAAGAAGAATAGCCAAATTAGAATTAGACTGAATGAAAGAGTGAAGATGAATAGCCAAAAAGATGACGATTTCATGTTGAGAAAAATTTCAAGAATTGAAATTTTCTAGTGCAACAATTCTTTATAGTTGCTAAAATTATATAGAATAGTACACTTACACAAAGTGACATATTAACTACCACACCTTTTCAAAGAATAGATTTGTTTTATGAAAAGAAATGACACATCCTCACATTTAAATTTTTTATTCATCTAAATAACTACACTATTCTTCTTAACTTTCGTCATTTGTTTCTCTCCATTTCTATACTTCTTTGTTACCCATTGAATGCTAATTTTTAACGTTTAGAGAATTTATTTAAAGAAAATAGAAGAGACATAAGACTAACATAGTTTTTTCCGAACTATGACTATGAGAAAAAGAAAAAAAAGTAAAAAGATAAAATGCATGTCATGAAAGCATGAAGCAAAACCAATTTAATTCCTCCGTCATATATATTATACAAAGAGCATAGCAACAATTAAAGAGCATAACAAATATTGAATCACATTACCTGTGAAATAGAAAAACCATAGACAAAGAAAAGCACATCAAGAACAAAAATCTTTACTTTAACACAAAATGTACTTCAAACCACACTTGATATACCTAAACGATAACAGTAGGAAGCCAAACAACTAAAACAATAATCTATTAACATACACTCGGAAGCCTCCGTTAGCACCGAAAACGTGAAATCAATTGAAACATATTACACGCCTAAGAAAAGGGGATTGACAATATGTATATGAAATCTATATGATTGAATTTATTGAAAAAGGAAATGTTACGGTGAATGGGGAGGTGAAAAGTTTGTAACTCATCTAAAATTATAATGATCTCGTTAATTAGTGATTCAATCAATATGATAAATATTATTAAGATTTAAGAGCATTTAAGAATGTCTTTTTGTGTTATTTAATCTAACACGTAAATGGAAGAAAAAGGAAGGAAAATCCAAAAAATTGAGAAAAAAGATAAATATATTTTTTAGGCAAAGAGTGTAAGACCTGGCCATTCGTTTTGAGAATTAACGCCCCGATCTCCTATTAACTACTTTCTTTGTATTTATTTCTGCTATTATAATTTGCCGGAAAGATTCGTTTTGAGTTTCGGAGTGTTTTGGGACATTTAGTCCCTAAATGAGAGCTTAAGCTTTAGAATTTGGACCATAATCGGAATAGTATGAAGACGGCCTCGGAATGGAATTCCGTCAATTCCGTTAGCTCCGTTGAGTGATTTCGGACTTAGAGGCGTGTTCGGATTGTGTTTTGGAGGTCCGTAGCTTATTTAGGCTTGAAATGCCGAAAGTGAAATTTTTGAAGTTTCCGGATCGATAGTGAAATTTTGATATCGGCGTCGGAATCCCATTCCAAAAGTTGGAATAGCTCCATAATATTGAATGCGGCTTGTGCCAAAATTTAGGGTCAATCGGACATGGTTTGGATGGTTTCGGCATCGGTTGTAGAATTCTTAAGGTTTTATGTTCATTAGCCTTAGATTGAAGGGTGATTCTTGGTTCTAGCATTGGTTAATATGATTTGAGGGTTCGACTGAGTTCATATGATGTTTTAGGATTGGTTGGTATATTTGGTTGAGGTCCCAGGGGCCTCGGGTGAGTTTCAGATGCTTAATGGAAGTTGAAATTTAGACTTAGGCTAATTCTGAAGTTTGCCGCTTCTGGTATTTTCGCACCTGCGGTGAGGAGCCCGCAGGTGTGGCCTACCGAAGTTAGGAAAGAGCTCGTAGGTGCGGTTTGGGGCACAAAGAACAGTGACCGCAGATGCAGCTCAAGGACCGTAAAAGCGGACCATATTTGCGGAGAAAGGAACGCAGGTGCGGTGCCTAGGGAGTTAATGAAATCCGCAGATGCGGAGCCCAAGCTGCAGGTGCGGGACTGTAGGTGCGGCTCCATGAACCGCAGATGCGAAAATCGCTGGGCATTTATAGAAAATTTGAGGGTTTGAAATTTCATAACACAAAAGTGGAATCGGAGCTCGGTGGGAGACGATTTTTCGAGGGGTTTTGAAGGAGAATCATTGGGTAATTAATTCTAACTCGATTTTGATCATAATACTACAATCTATTGTTGTTTTCCTCTTCTAATTAAGAAAATTGAGGGTAAAAGTTTGAAAATGGGAGAAAAGTTCCCCAATTTAAAATTCGAGTTTTCAGTGAGATTTTGGCGTCGGATTTTGGTGACTTTTGTTCGAGTGTGCTCGTGAGTGAATGAGTGTTCATAATTCGTAATTTTTACCCGATTCCGAGGCGTGGGCCGAATTTTGGGCGTTTTTCTATTTTCTTACCTTAGCTTCGATTCCTTTAGCTAAATTCATTGTTTGTAGTTATATTTACATTATGAAATTTATTTGATTGGATTTGGGCCACTCGGAGTTGGATACTCGTGGCAAGGGCATGATTTCGGATTCATTTTGAGCTGGTTCGAGTAAGTGGCTTGCCTAACCTTGTGTAGGGAAACTCCCCTTAAGATTTGGTATTGTTGTTATATGAATACCATGTACTTGAGGTGACGAGTGCGTACACGTGCTAATTGTTGGAAAACCCCGTTTTCATCAAGTAAATATCTGTGTTTCCTTTTTGTTGAACACTACTTGTATTTAAAGCCTACTGTTTAGCTTAGGAAAGCATGCTTAAGTGACTTAACTGTTCTATCTACTTAAACTGTTTACTTGAGTTCTGTGCAGCATGTTTCGAATAGAAATCTGTGTTTTCTTGATACGAACTTGGATAGAACTGTAGATTCTTTCTGGGTACCGCTGTGGTGTACTAATGCTCTTTCCTGCACATATTTTTATTTCGTGTGCGGATCTAGGTTCTTCTGCTCAACCGTTCTATCAGTGAGTCGGGCGATATCAGAGACTTCGAGGTATATCCGCCGCGTCCGCATACCTAGAAGTCCCTCTCTATTCTCTCATTTAGATTTAGACGTCCTGTATTTACTTTTGATTAGACATTCTAGATTTAGAACATTGTGTAGTTTCTATAGCTTGTGATTTCATAAGATTCTGAGTTTTAGGAGTTTTGATTTAGTTCTGAGAGTGTGTATTGTATATGCCGAGCGGCATTTTAAACCCTTTTATTTTACCCTTAACTTGCCAGTTTCGTATTTCATTTCCTTTTTCTGTAATTTGTTAGGCTTACCTAATCGTAGAGACTAGGTGCCATCACGATAGTTCATGGAGGGAGAACTTGGGTCATGACAAGTTGGTATTAGAGCTCTAGTTTCATAGGAGTCATGAATCACAAGCCAGTTTATTAGAGCCTTGTAGATCGGTACGGAGACATTTGTACTTATCTACAAGAGGCTATGTAACTGCTAGGAAAAATACCACTTCATTTAATATCCTTGTCGTACGAGATTTCAATATCAAAATTTTAAACCTCTGTCTTCTATTCTCTCACAAATGATGAGGACACGTGCTACCGGAGATGACCAGGCACCCGTGCCCTCTGCTAGAGCCACCAGAGGTTGGGGCCGGGTAGAGGCCGAGGACGCGCACGTGGTGCAGCCAGAGAACCTGCGCAAGCTACCATAGAAGATCCACTAGCAGCTCCAGCCGGAGCCCAGGCACCTAATACGCCTACTGCTACTACTATTCCCAGCTCTTCAGGAGACCCTTGCACAGTTTGTGAGCATGTACACCACTTTAGCTCAGGTAGGGTTGATTCCCCTTACTGCAGCCACATCTTAGGCCTGGGGAGGAGCACAGAATCCCGCCGCCCGCACTCCTGAGCAGCGGGTTCAGGTTGATCAGATCCCATAGGTTATACAGGTACCGTTTGTAGCCCCAGTTCAGCGCAACAGCTTCAGAGGATAAGCAACGGAGGCTTGAGAGGTTCAAGAAGTGCAAGCCTCCTATATTCAGTAGTCTAGCATTAGATGATGCTCTGGGATTTCTGGAGGAGTGCTACCGTATCCTCTGCACTATAGGTATATCATGATCAAGTGGGGGTTTTTTCACTGCCATCCAGCTTCAAGGAGCAACCTATCAGTGGTGGCGTACTTATGAGTTGAACAGCCCAACTGAGGTAGCTTCCCTTACATGGACCCAGTTTTCAGATATGTTTTTGAGGGAGTATGTTCCTTAGAGCCTCAGGGATGCATGGCGCGCAGATTTTGAGCATTTGCGCCAGGTACTATGACTATTTCGGAGCATGCTGTCCGTTTCATTAACTTGGCTAGGCATGCACATGCCTTGATTTCTACGGTTCGCGAGAGAG